ACTCTCTAGATGTCGAGCTGGATAAACGCATTGGCAAAGCAGCTACCATGTTCTCTAGACTCACAAAGAGAGTATGGCTCAATAAGAAGCTGACGGCACATACCAAGATCCAGGTCTATAGAGCCTGTGTCCTGAGCACACTCCTGTACTGCAGCGAGTCCTGGACCCTTTGTGCACGGCAGGAGAGGAAGCTGAACACCTTCCATATGCGTTGCCTCCGATGGATTTTTGGTATCACCTGGCAGGACAAAGTTCCAAATAGAGTAGTCCTAGAATGAGCAGGAATTTTCAGGAACTAAATTAGGCCCATCTGAATCCATGAAACATATGGAGGACTTGATTCACCAAATCTCCACAGAGTCAATAGGCCTACTCTAGTGTGGCTTACTAGAATAACCAACAGGGTGTCTCTATACATCCAGACAGGCTACCACCTCTATGGCTGTGGTTAAAAGGTTAATTTTGAAAGTAATGGAATGCATAAATCAATCAAAAAGAAAGCTTAATTCTTTGAAGGAGGAATTGCTAGCCCATGAGTGAAATGTGGCCATGAAGTAAATGTGTCTGGTCCCCAACTGGGGGAACAACCGCAACAAAACACTTAATTTGTTTTGAAAGAAACATTTGTCCTTTTGATTATGGCTGTGGTTAAAAGGTTAATTTTGAAAGTAATGGAATGCATAAATCAATCAAAAAGAAAGCTTAATTCTTTGAAGGAGGAATTGCTAGCCCATGAGTGAAATGTGGCCATGAAGTAAATGTGTCTGGTCCCCAACTGGGGGAACAACCGCAACAAAACACTTAATTTGTTTTGAAAGAAACATTTGTCCTTTTGATTTAAAGGATAGTATTTGTTTTGATTTAAAGGATAGGTTGGTGGCAGCAGTTTTTGGTGAGGGGTAGGCCTGGATTGGTAGAGGCTTGTGAGTGGCCTGCTACAGTTACATTGTTCTCAGTCACTGAAATTCCTTCCTTTGTGCTAACACATGTGGAAACCCTACAAATACAGAACATTCTTGTCAGTCACTGAACTTCCTTCCTTTGTGCTAACACATGTGGAAACCCTACAAATACAGAAATCTTCGAGTTTAATGTTTATTTTGCTTCCTCTTCTGTAGTAGCAACATCCCCACAAGCACCTAAAAGAGCACCGAGGGCTCTTGGCGTCCCAGAAGGACACACCATTTTTTACCGAACCTGTTGTGGAATCTTTTGTGTGCCAAGAGATGCACTGGCATGTTGTTAGATAACCCAGAGCTATTCCTTTTGTGATCATATTAACAAGAAACAGTGCTCTGAATCACAGAAACATTTAGTACTAAAACCAGTCTCTCTCTTCTCCCTCACCCTTTATATTCCCAAAAGGAAAGAACACTGGACACAGAAACATTTAGTATTAAAACCAGTCTCCCTCTTCTCCCTCACCCTTTATATTCCCAAAAGGAAAGAACACTGGAGTAAAATCTTTCCTCATGAAAACAATAAACATCAGTCGTAGCAGAGCAGATTTCTGATATGGAAATAGAAGGTGAAATGTTTCCATTCATTTCAGGAAAAACCATAAAAGGGAAAGAACCTGCCTGCTGGCTTGATTTCTGCAATTTACCAGTTTTGCTCATATTGTTGTTTAGTCGTTTAGTCGTGTCCGACTCTTCGTGACCCCATGGACCAGAGCACGCCAGGCCTCCTCACCAGTTTTGCTCATATTATTGTTTAGTCATTAAGTCGTGTCCAACTCTTCGTGACCCCATGGACCAGAGCACGCCAGGCCTCCTGTCTTCCACTGCCTCCCGGAATTGGGTCAAATTCGTGTTGGTAGCTTCAATGACAGCTTTTGGTCATATTAGCAGGTTCCAAAATGCCATCTCAGGTGTGACTGACCTGTAACAGCTATAACACCACAGACCAGGCCTTTTTGTACTATTTCATTCCTTGATGACTCGTGGGATCTTCTAAGTGCATTAAGCCTCTTCAGCCTTTAACGCTCAAGGTGAAATGACTTACAGGTGTGGAAAAAATTGGGGAGGGGCATAGCTTTTGCAGGTTCCCACATTCTCACCATGAATATAGCTCATTGCACATTTGAAGAACTGAGTAGGGTCAGTGTTGTTCAACATAAACCAGTCTTATGCACCTTATTTATTTTTAATATTCAAGAAATGGTATGTTTATGTGAACCTGCCCTCAGGTCAGGTGGTGGGTCTTGGAGGCTAGAACTGAATCTGGCCTTTTGAGGATGATCACATCCTCCTTTCATACGACACCATTCTTTCATAGGTTCCCAGATTGTGTACAAGAATTTCTCCACGCAAAAGACAAATGATTCTCTTTAGCCTTTGCTACTGTCAGGAACTACAACAGGCTAGCAATCTGGGGCTCATCCTTTTGCTTCTGGACACACTTACCACAGCATGCAACCCTCAGAAACACCTCTGAAACGAAATGGGGCCCTTGAAATTCCACATAGCCACATGGGTCTCAGTGAGAGCTTGGAAAATCTCTGCTTTAAGGGGGGATTATAACTGACCATATTGGTCTAGAGAGTCTGGAAATTTTAGTCCCAAACAAGGTTTAGTCTGAATTCACTGTCTTTCAGGGTTTTCTGTAAAGCAAGGATGGCATTAATTTATAGCCATTGGCCATTTCTAGGGCAGCATTATGGCTTAGTTTTAGTCACGCATGGTCTTTTCCTTATGTATTCCTACAAAATCTAAAAGTGTAAATGAGATAACATGTAAGTAACCATTAATAATTAATTGTGCCCAGGTTAATATCTTTTATGAATACACTGACATACACACAGGTTGCTGTAGTTCATTGTTTTATTTTGACATCAAAAATGAGAACATCTTAACAGATCAGGTATCCGGCTGATTTCCATCCCCCCAAGCAGTTTGTAACATTCTTTCAGAGGCAAATAAGGGGGGGTTGTTACATTTTATTTCATTTAATGAAGCAATATCCCAATAAAACAGACACCAATTATACCATTGTATGCATCAGAAAAAGAGCAGACTAATCCAACCAATACATTATGGCACATGAACCTCATAATAAAAGAAAAGCTTGACTATGAAAGGGTATTATAGTGCACAGAAGCTTCATTTTAAAAATATAGGTATATGTACAATCCGGTGGCTTAAAGTGGCTTCTTGAGTTTATTCTCTGACTAGCATCCTTCTACACATTTTGAATGGGCACTTCAAGATTGTGGAGTAAACTGCATTTTTTTAAGGTGCACAGCAGGACAGCATTCCTACTAAATACAGGTTTCCAGCATGGCAGCATATAAATTTTAGGCACATCTGAATGCAAAAAAAAGTTAAGATTTCTTTTTCTTTTTTCTTTTTACAAAATCTTTTTTAGGACAGTGCAAAATTGTAGTGCTCTTCAAAAAGGCAACAATCGCATACAGAATAACATTAAAGACATAAACACATTAATAGTTGAATTACAACCAAAAGGTGCACCTATAAAGAAAAGGCTTTTCATGTAAAAGGAACTTTTTGGTACCCCGAGGTGTCAGTCGCCATTCCATTCCAGTGATATTCTGCATGTTATGACTGAGAGCTTAAAAACACTGTGCTAAGGCTGAGCTTGGCTGAGTGCTCCCTTCAGAGCTGAAGACACACTTCACGAAGCCACCATCTATCAGAAAAAAAGCTTTTGGCATAGCTAGCTTGCAAGGCAGAGCTACAGATTCATTCGACTAGTGCTATAAAAAAATACCACAAGTGCTTGTATCTTCAACGGTCGGCCTACCTCAGAGCTGGCTTTTAGCTCGGCATTGAATGCAGCAGCATTAAGAACATGGGTATAAAGTGAAGGCTCAGGTTCACACCAAAACAAATGGCAAATACTAGCACCCTAGATCCAGCAAGAGAGAGCTGTATGTGGAAGCAGCATTCAAGGTGTGTGACCAATGCACACTGGAGTTTTACCCCAATTTCACTGAATCAGCTGGACCTATTCTTTAATAGTGAGGGGAGCACGAATCCTGATTCGTTGTAGTGAGTGATATTATAACACAATCCACATCTAGCTGAATAGTGACGGGAGCACGAATCCTGATTCAGGGCCATTCGTTGTAGTGAGCGATATTATAACACAATCCACATCTAGCTGATTGTCACTAGGACAAGGCTGGCCCCAGTTATACATAGAAGCACCCTGTGCTCATGGCACAGCCTGCAAGGTGGGAGGGAACTGGGGCAGTTCAAGACAGGGACACCTCCTAAGACTACTCCAGCGTGAATGGGGTTGGACACCAACATCTCTGTGATTTTATGGACCCTTTCCCCAATCTTCATCCATTAGGTGGAGCCCTTTTTAGCCTCTCTTTGACCATCAAGATAGCTTTTTATATGGCAGGATACTACAAGATGAGGAATAGCTTTCCTACCAAAGAACATAATTAGAAAACAGCTCTAATATAAGAGTTTACCCCCTCCACATAAAATGTGGACCATTGTTGTTTCAAGAGTTCTGAAACTAAGGCAGTGAAGTTTTCCCAGGCTGGATTGGGCTAAACAGGGTTGCCTCGAAGTGCGGTATGAGAATTAGAACAATCCTTGCATCCACATGTGGGGATTGGGTGGGTACAATACAGGACACGACAACACACTTCCAAGCAACCTCATTTAGCTGTTCCTCACTCAGAGCCTCCACGCCCCGCACCCTCTCTTGTCTCTTCCTCTGTGAGGAGAGGGAAAAACTGGATTTTTAATTTATTAGTAAGTCACTGCAATGGCTTGCCATCAAAGTGAAACAACATTGGACTGTAAGAAAGAGAAGAAAGGGAAAGGGAGGGAAAAAAGACATTCCCCCTACATCTCCTCATCTGTCTACCCATCTGTAGGGAGCAGGAGAAAGTTGAATTTTATTTTATTTTATCTTATTTTATTTATTAATAAGTGACATTGCTGCAATGGGTTACCATTGAAGTGAAACAGCACTAGATTATAAAGAAAAAGAAGAGGCAAAGACACTAATCTTTCATTGCGGCATATGTGTAGCTGGACATGGGGGTGGTAAGTATTTCCCCATCAAAAAGAGGAGAATGGATGGATGAAGATGATTGTCTACAAGAGGAGATTTGCTTGAGAGTCCACAATATCACCAAATATAAATGGCCTAAATCCCATTGCTAATCCCAAGTAAAGCTGGCTCATTGAATCAATCACTGAATGGTAGATCACATTAGCTTAAATCCCACTGGGAATCTCTAAATGGGATTAATAACTGGATTTCAGTCAATAACATCGTTTAGGCTCAGGAAGAAGAAATTAGAATCAGCTTTTTTTTAAAAAAAAAAAAGGAAAATGAAAGAAGAAAAATGACGTTCTTTTGTCTTCAGTGAACCTTTTAACAAACCTTATAAGGCCAATTAATCAGATTTTCAGCAACATTAGGTTTCCTATTTTGCAAAGTTGGATATGAGGTGTTTTTAAACAAAAAATAACAACAAAAAACAACAACACAACAAAACAAACAAAACCTTTGTGCCCTGTTAGGATACCTTCCAGAGCTGACATTACATGAGGATTTTGGTAAAAAGCATAATTAGCTGCCCTGAAGGTCCTCTTTGCATTACAGGATATTTTCCTTATCTTGTTCATTACTAGGCTAAGATAGTGCTGCTTCGAATATTGTAATGTAAATATAAAAAGTGATATGAAATAGTGAGTCTAACAATCGCTAAGCCTTAGGCACCAATGATTGCATATGAGAGAAGATAGCTGAAAAGTATAAAAACAAAATGTGGTTATTTTTGTTTGTTTGTTTGTTTTAGTTTGTTGACAAGGGTAACAGAACAGCTACATTCAGTTGTCTGACAGGTGAGCTCTGCATGTGTGCGTTACATGTACACAAATACACACACTGCATCGTTTAAGGTGCTTTCAGTAATAATAAGACAACATTTTTAGCAAACTAACAACAATTAAAAACTAATCGCTTTCCTTTACATTTAACAGTTTTAATAGAAAGAAAAACATTTCTCCCTAGGACTCCCAAGCTAGAGTTGTGACGAGTATGTAGATGTTCAAGAAACACACATTTGTCGTGGCAATTTGTTTTGTTTGCATTTCTTTACTTCCCAAGCTAAAACAACCAGTTAAGTGGCTCTTCATCAGGGTTTTATGAATGGCTGGCCTTAGTTTAAGTTTATTTAAGCCTCCTGCAATAACTGCTCGGGAAAACTAAGGAAACTGCTATCTAGATCAACAACAGATGGATTTGGCTGGACATATTTCCATTCCAGAGTTCGGTGGTTCCCCAACGCAATGTTTGTTCCCCCGTGGCAACCACAGAGCACTTGCGCCTGGCAGTGGCTCGCCACTCCCTTCAGTGGAGGGAAGGCTTTTGGTGCTTTTTGTGCCCTCTTCCAGAGAAAAGCCATTCCCAGTGAAGTGAATGGAGCAGCCTTTGCAGCCACAGGACACTCGGGTTGCCCATGAAAGCTCTGTGCCCACAGAAACCAATGGATGGCGCAAACAGCAAAAATTATCCCACTATAAAAAAAATTAGCAAATTAAATTAAATTTCTTATAGTGCAATTCCATGTATACTTAGAAGTCAGCCCCTTTCAATTCAATAAACGTTCCTCTCTGGAAAGTGTGTAAAGGGGTTATGGCCGTAGTGTTTATATACACTGGGATGTAAATGGATAAAAACTGCTTCTTATGCTAATTGTGGCCCCACACACATTTTGACTCTCCTTGCTTATACATCATCAGTCAATGCAATACACAATTACATCAATAACACAGAAACAAGCTACAACATGAGCACTTTAAAAATGCATCTTTTTTTTTTAAACAAGGCACTTTGTAGTCCTCAATAGCTTTGGAGAAGTTTCAATGCGGAACCGTTCTTTTTAAATGTTTTCACTGCTAAAGACAAATACATCATTACATTACTTTAAAAAAAAGGACACTAGAAATGAAGCTCATGACAGAAGCAGTGGTGAAAGCACTTAAAACAAAGACGAGATGAAAACTATTCACAACATTAGTGCTGTAATGCTTTCACGAGCTTTTTTTTGGGGGGGGAGCACAATAGATATAACAAAAGCAGCGAACAATGACCACCTGCAGGTTTACGGTAGGTCTATTCTGACCCAAATGTGTGCTCATCCCTTTGGTTGGGGTCAATATGTGCACAGGCAAAATGGCAGAAGGCAAGTCCTTTAATCACTTCACTTCATCTTTCTGCCAGCAGTTTCTCCACACTGAGCCCGTTTGAACCCTGAGAAGCATCCAAAAGAGTTGTTTCTGTTACCCAAATGATTCTCCTGAGCAGTACTGATTGCACTGAGCCCACCTACAGGGGAAGGAAAACCAGGCACCAGATAGCATGTCACCTTGTCCAAGACCTTGTTTAATGTACCACACAAACAGTGAGGATCTTGTTTGCCTCTGGATGCTGCTCAGCTGCATTACAAAATGGCAGAACCAAGTGGAAGGGGCAGACCATGCTGGAAGTTCTTATTCCTGTGCAACACCTTCCTGAGGGCTAGTAGCACAGATAGAACTTCCCACAGGATCAGTCAGATTTTATGTGTCCACTCATAACATCACCCAACCTTTGATACATTTTTTAGACAAAGGTATGCAGTTATTTGGTTCATATTAAACTCCCAGCCAGTGACTGTTACTGCCTGTATCGATCAATCTAAGAGGTGCGAGAAGTACCTCTGTTAAGAATCCTTTAATTTCAATTACAATGCAGAAATTAGTAAACCCATATCTTCCAATCTGTCTGTTGTGGCCCAGCTAAGAATTTGGCATAAGAAAATAAAGTACACATCTAATAGTTGTCAGGAAAGGCTGTGTCCAGCCTACTGCAGACACCACTGTAATCCCACATAGGATATTCTAAACCTTGTCATCATTTTTTTAAATTCCTTCTCTTGAAGTATGACTGAGACTGGGCTCTAACAAAGTCTGAACTCCTCCACCTTCATTCTTTTTAGTTTGTGCATGGGGGTATTTACCAATAAAAGGCCAATAAAGATTGCATGTAAACATCATCTACTCAACTCAGCTGGAATTTTTGTCCAATTGATTTCAGAAAGAAAGGCCACCCAATTTCTCACTCTGGGACCAGCAAAAAGTCTTACAGGAATCCTGAGTACAAACAAGAAGGATTGTTTTTGGATTCCTATATTCTGTCTAAAAGGATACATGTTCTTCTCTTAAGGTTCTCATAATCAATGTTTTGGAAATCATGTATGATTGGCAAGTACTGGAGTGCTTCTACATGACATGGGTTCAGTCTGAACTTCAGTCATTTGTAAATGGGATTTTCAGAAACCTGTAGGCTCATTGAAATGCAGATTCTCACATTGCTTCTGGTTCAGGATGATCTTCATGTTTGTTCACATAGCAAGGTGGCAAGGAATGTTTTGAAGTGGTGGCCACTGCCAGCTGGTTCTTGGGCAGCTCTTCACTTGTGGGAGCGACTCTGGCATGTAGACGATGAGCATCCAGCATTTCCAGCAGCAAATCGTAAAGGGGCACCACATTCTTACACTTCATGTTGTAGAGGTGTTCCATTCCCTTATTGCTGTGAATTCATCAAAAGAAAGAGGGAAAGGAAGGAGGAAACATGCTGTTACATAGAGAAATGATACTTCTAGGTTTGGTTCTGCCACTAGTCAGTATTCTAGGACACCACAAGCCACAATAAATCAGTCGTATGAATGGTTTCCTACCAGATCATATCTGAAATACACAACAGACATTTCAAAACATGTTGATTTCAATATGGGATAAACCGCAGAAGCCTCTGTGCTGCAGGGTCAGAAGACCAGCAGTCGTAAGATCGAATCCATGTGACAGAGTGAGCTCCCGTCACTTTGTCCCAGCTCCTCACCAACCTAGCAGTTCGAAAGCATGTAAATGCGAGTAGATAAATAGGCACCACCTCGGTGGGAAGGTAAAACAGCGCTCCCTAGTCATGCTGGCCACGGGACAATGGAAACTATCTTCGGACAAGCGCTGGCTTAATGGCTTGAAAAATGGGATGAGCACTGCCCCCTAGAATCGGACACCACTGGACTAAAAATGTCAAGGGGAACCTTTACCTTTAGAGTAACTTAAGTGTTTCTCAGTTCTCATTACTGCTAGGGAAGACTGCTAGTCCATAGCATCTGGTACACACCTATATACTACCGTACAGAACTACAGCTGACTAGTTCTTTTATTCTCCTCCAAGCCTCTTTTGACTCTCAATTATATTTAGAATTTCAGACCTGACAACACTGTTCACACATAAACACATACATGGCACAACTAAATACAATAACGGCAAATTAAATGGCTTTGTTCACTGATCCTCTTTGCCGGACCTTGAAAATTACCTACAACTTGTACTTTCAGTAGCTGTAGTTTAGAGAACAGTACCAGTATAGTTTTAAAAGCTACAAATAAATAAATTAAAAGAACTATATGTCAGGATTTTAAATCCGTTTCTGCATTTACAGTGAGACAGTCTCTAGAAACATTCAAATAAACTCATAAGGAACAAACACAAATACCAATGTTAGATTCTATTCTTAATTGTTTATTAGAATGATTTACACTGGCCTTCTTCCCAAAGTGGAACCAAAGAAACAGGATAAATAAAAAGAAATACATAATTATTAAAATGTTAATTAAATTGGCTATTATATTAAAAAATAATACAATTAAAATATTTTAAATGTCTTCACTAAAAATGGTAATTACAATAGAAAAGTGCAGCTTTTTGTCCCTTGTAATACAAAACATCTGCTATTGAGTTTGGAGTCCTGAAGAAGCAGGAAGAGAAAAATAGTGCAGAAACTGAAGAGATGACGCTGTCTGGTAGAGTGTTGTCTTAATATCCACACTCATCTGCTATAGATTTTAAAATCAAATTAGTTTCAAAATCTGGTTGGTGTGCATGTTTGGATGATCATCTGCATTCACATATGATTAATGTGGTGATCCTCAACTTCAGATGAAACATTTGTGTTAGTGGTGGGACTCCAGAGGGCTGAGGCAACATGATGGCCACCATGTTGAGGCCACCTTCTTTGTCTCAGAAAGCTCTGCATGAAAGGAGGAACTTCCCACACTTCCAAAGCCAGCCAATCAGCTAGGCAGGGCTCTATCTGGAGGATATAAAAAGGGCTGGTCTCGGCTTGCTGGCCTCTTTCATTGTTGGGGCTTCAGGAAGCAGAATCAGGTCATCTGGAACAGTGCAGAACAGACCAATGAAGGCAGAAGCAGTGAAGAAAAGAACGAAGCAGCAGCAGCAGCTTGAGGACTACAAGGAAGCAGTGGAATTGGCAGTGGTGCCATACTCAAAGGAGCTGAATTTACTTTGTGGCTCAGGAGTGGCAGGGCTGCTGCCTGAGTGAGGGTGGAGAAGTCGTGGGAAGAAGAGCAAGGCAAATTTGGGGACAGTTGTATGCCTGGAAAGAAGAATATGAATAGTTTTTTTTTTTTTAAAGAGACGGACAAACTATCAGGAGTAATACAGAGGTGGGGTGACTGCTGGGAGGGCACAAAGAGAACTGGTATAGGGCAGTAGACTGCCAGGAGAGGCACAGAGGGGGAGACTACCAGGAGTGGTCTAGAAAGGAACTGTATTGTGGTATACAGGGGCAGTCTACTGGGGGTGGTGCAGGGGGTGAGACTACCAAGAAGAAGTGATTTGGAGTCTGGCGTACGAAAGGGGCCGGTCTGGAGGTGCACAGTAAAGAGTACTGTGTAGGCAGAGAAAGTTAAGCAATAACAATAATGATTTTTTAAAAAAACAGACAAACATGCACACTGAAATAAAAGGGGATAAATAGGGCTTGCTTGCAATTTGCAAGGAGTGCATAGTGCATGCAGGCATGTAAGGTGAAGCAAGAACTGGGTGATAGCAAGGTCAGAGACCTCAGGAGCGCTAAAAGGAATGGAACTCTGGGTCAGTGGGCACATGGGGTGGTTAGTTTGTAGGTACAGAGAAAGTTTATGGGGAGGGAATAAACTCAGGGGTAATAAGCAGGCATCCTAATAATACTGTTGTCCTCTTGCAAGTTTTTTCTGACTGCAGGCATGCCATCTAAGAAGGGGGTGCCCGCTACTTCTATTCGTGGTCCTTTCCCCTCCCCTGCAGCCTGGGGCTGGGGGGGAGGGGAAGGGCCTCAAACAGGAGTAGTGAAGAGAGGTCCTCCTGCCACCAGGATGACCACTGAGGAAGGAAGTGGGTTGCCCTGATACTGTGGATAACCTGCTGCTCAATCTTTCACCCACCATTAGAAAACTGACTGAGCAACTGGGAGCTCAACAGCATGCAGGGGGTCTACATGATGCAACATGGGGCCAGCCCTCATGTCTGCTTCCTTGCTCTTCCCAGCGTTTTGAAAGTGGATTTGGAGACTGTCTTCAGACTGCCTGGTACTGCCTGGTATTGCCTGGCACAGTGCTGTACGGACTGTATTTTTATTTTTTGGCTTTTTTAAAATTTTGGATTTTTAAAAGGTGTTCCCGCCTTCCTTTGCTGTCCTCTTTTTCCCCAATATGTGCTTGTATTGGCTTGTCTTCATTGAAAAGGTGCTTTTCAAGGTGATCTGTTGTCTGAAAGGTGCTTGGTTTTTCCCAGAAGGTGTTTGTCTTGGCTGAAAAGGTGCTTTTCAAGGTGTTCTGTTGAAAAGGTGTCTCCTTCCCTCCCTCTTTTCTTTCCCTTTTTTAATCTAAGTCAGGTTAAAACGGAAAAAAAATCTGCCCCTAGTGGTAGGAACCTAAGTCAGGTTAAAAGGAAAAAAAATCTGCCCCTAGTGGTAGGAACAGATTAACCAGCTTTGTATTAGTTCCAATGGGAACTAATGATTCAAATTACAAACTGCCCCTTGACCTAAGAACCAAAAACAGCAGGAATGGATTAATTGGTTTTCAATGCATTCCTATGGGAAATGCTGATTCAACTTACGAACTTTTTGACTTACAGACTTCCTTCTGGAACGGATTACATTTGTAAGTCGAGGGTTGACTGTACTACACTGGGAACTTCCCCTTGAATAACAAGGATCCTCTGAATCCAGCTACCTAAACAACTTAGAGAAGAAATATTGAATGGAGGATATACATAAATGTGTTTAGTTTGTTAAAACCTGACACTGATGAAGGAAAAATGCTAGGGCACAATAAGAAAGACAGTAAGAAGGAAAAGTGGGAAGAGTCTCTTTCCAGGTAGGCAGGCCTTCTAAAATTGGCTGACAGGATACACTGCATTCATGGGAATGGTTCAAGCCACCTACCCTGAAAAAGGGTGACATCCCACCAACCATTTCAGCAACATGTTCCACGCAAGGTCATTAGCTGGGAATGTGGCAGCCACTGAGTATGATGAGGCTATTAGAAAGGGAATCTCCCATAGCAGGAAAGCTAGGTAGGCTCTCAAAAATGAGAAGCTCTGGCTGTTGTTGGAAGACATACATATAAAAGGAAAGACAAAGCCACCCAGTGCAGCTCAGGGCATTGCTTCCCCTCTTAGCAAGATGTCCCAACAGGTCCACTGTGGTTTACTGCTGAGGGTTTGTTTTGGTTTTAGAACACCAGAAGTAGGGATGTCTCCTGTTGGGGAACTGGTTAATTTAAAATCAGCCTGGGATATGTCCAATGTAGTGTGGCAAAAGATCAAGAGTGAGTGTCTGGCAGGCCAAGTAGTTGGTCTTTTCATGCACCTCCCATTTCCTGACATTATAATTTTGCCCCTGGAGGTAGTGCCCAAGAAGACGCCAAGTGAATTCAGGCTGATTCATCGCCTGTCTTACTCAGGGGCATTTCCGTTAATGAAGTGATTCAGCAGGTTGTGTTCGATGCACTATGCATTGTTTGATCATGCAGTCCGGATGGTTAATCTTGGGGGAAGGTGCCCTCATGGCAAAAGCTGGCATTCAGTTGACTTTCTGCTTGCTGCCAGTCCACTCTCAAGATTTTGGTTTGTTGGGTATAAATGTATTGCAGATATTACAATAAGGCCATGCCTATGGGCTGTTCAGTGTCTTGTGCTGCTTTTGAGGCGTTTAGTATATTTTTGGAATGGGTTGTGAAGAACAGGACATTATCTCTACACTTTATGCATTATCTTCCCCTCTTAGCATGATAGCCTAACAGATCACTTGCACAGTTTGTGCTGAGCAGCTACAGTTGTTCCAGGCCATGGCACAGGAGTTAGAGATCCCCCTCACAGAGGATAAAACAGAGGGCCCAGCAGCTAGGCGTATTTGGGTATCCAGCTGGATACAGTAGTGGAAAATTCTTCCTTCCCTCAGGCTAATAAACCCTGCTGAGACTCCTTCAGCAGCTGAAGGCAAGGAAAAAGGGCACCCTCAGAGAAGTACAGAAGAGGAATTTTGAAGAGGTATGGTCATTTTCTGGGCAACCTAGATTTTGTGTGGAGGGTTGTTCCCCTAGGCAGGGCTTTCTGTGCAAAACTGGCTAGGGCCAGATAACAGAGGGAATGTGAGAAGACCCAAAGGCATGGGGAGTATTTCTAAAGCAATTTAACAGCAACACATTGTGGCAGGATCCTCTTGAAGGGGATCAGGTGGAATCAGACATTGCCAGTGGTGTGTACTTTCAGAATCAGTGGTGCACGCAGTGCTGGTCATAGCATTGGATGCGAGACGCCAATTGCAAGGACCTGGCCTTTCTGGAATTCTTTCCCATATTGGTGACTGTGCACATCTGGAAAGAGGTCCTCTGTAATTGCAAAGTAAACTTCCTGTGTGACAATACAGCAGTAGTCAGAGTCATTAATGTGTTGGCATCACACTCTAGGCAGGTGATGAGGCTCCTGTACAGATTTGACCACACGTGTTTGGAATCTAACATCACTTTTTCTGCAAGGTATATACCTGATGCAAATAATGATGTTGAGGATGCCCTGTCTTGCTTTCAGGAAGAGAGGTTTTGATGGAGACACATAAAACCTCAGATCCCTTTCTGATAGAATTTTGAGATCTTGGGGATGCTCCATAATTCAGGGAGTTTTGAACTTGATGGCTCCTGCAACACTGAAGGCCCATAAGGAGGCAGCAGCCACCTTCCTGGAATTTGATAAAGCCAATGGAGGGGGGGGGGAATTGGCCAGCATCAGAAGACAGAACACTGTTTTATATGGCATTCTGTACTTTCAGGATAGTAGTAAGGCCCCTAGGACTATAGGTGGGTGCCTTGCAGTCATTACTTTCGTTAGCAAGCTGCATGGCTATTTGGACCCCTATTCAACCCTTAGCATCCACAAAACATTAGAGGGAGAACACAGAATGTCATCTCCTAGCCAAGAGAGTAGAAAGCCCATTACGTTACCACTGCTGGTCAAGATGATTCAGAGGCTGCTAAGGATAAGTTGCTCACAATTTCCACTCCAGCTTTTTCAGGCAGCATTCACACTGGCCTTTTCATGATGCTTGGAGCAAGAAAAGCAGTTGTGGCAGCAGTACAGGACAAATCAAGGAGGGCTCTTGAGGTGGGAGAGATCTCAGTGTAATCGGCCCCAGCTGCATTAGCTCTGCATTAGCTGCATTGGCTCAGTGGTGGTTCAGGGCATAGGGATGGATCCACAAGGAATGAGGACGACCCCTGGGGGCCTCCTCAGGTGGAGATCTATTTTAGGGGTTGGAGTGGAACCTAGGTACATACCCAGACTGGGGGATGTTGTGCAGTCTCCCCAATCATAGAATAATAGAGTTGGAAGGGGAGTCTATAAAACTATGAATCCCCCCCCCCCGCTGCTCAGTGCAATTTTTGTAATCCGCCCCGAGTAGACTTGGTCTAGAGGGGCGGGGTAAAAATCAAATAAATAAATACAATAAATAAATAAATAAGAATCCAATCAGTAACCGAGAGGTCCATACAGTGGCACACGCCTATGTGGTTAACTCCAATTCTGTTTCCTAGGTTATTATTAGCTGGCAGGTTGGGGCAGTGTGGTGGCCACCATGTTAAGACTGCCTTCTTTGTCCCAGCATAATTTACGTGAAACAAGGAGCCTTCCCATGCTTCCAAAGCCAAACAATTGCATTGGCTGGTAGGCAGAGCTCAGTCTGAAGGGTAAAAAAAAGGCTGGTCTTAGCTTACTAGCCTCTCATTAGAGCTTCTCCCATCCACCCTCCATTTCTACAATGGTATTTGTCTGGTGCACATGTGCATATAGTAAAATAAAAGGGTTTTTAAGTCTCTTAAAGCATTATTGGGGGTGGTTTGGGGCGTGAGGACGGATCCAGGAGGAGTGAGGAGGTTGCCCTCCTCAGGTGGAGCACCTTTTAGGGAGTTGAGGCAGAATCCAGATGCACACCCGTTTTGGGGGATGTTGCACACTTCTGCACCCCCAGTTACATGGGGTTCACACAGTGGCATACGCCCATGTGGTTAACACCAATTCTGTTACCTGGGTTATCACCAGCTGGCAGGCGGGTCGGCTGATGGGTGATCCATCCTCCACGCTAGCACCAGGCCTATTTGGCAGCTGTAACCAATAAAGTTGTGGCCAGTTTTGTTCCAAATAAAATTGTGTCTGTGTGGTTTGCTATAGTTTCCCTTTCTTCCCTCCCTTGACCAACCAAAGCCATTATGCTCAAATAATAATAATGTTTCATTTTTAAAGGAAATAAAAAAGTTAAGAAATATACTTCTATTGGTCTTAAAATTATTTAAGTGTAAAATATATACTGAAAGATAACAAACAAAAGTGAATATGGGTACATTCATCAGTGGTTTTTGTCCAACTTTTTTGTCCAGTCTGCCTGAAACTTGGCCAACATCATCATATCTCAAGAAGTTGTAGAATGTCCTTTAGACTGTAGATACCTTCACATCTTTTACATTGCAAACGTCAGTGTCACCAGCAAAAGAAAATAGGGTGGATCTTTACAAAAAGCAACTGGGCATTTACAGGATGTCATCCCATTTTAATTGTGTCTACAATAAAGACCTCTTTGCATCATATGCCTGGATATAGATAGGCATGATTTCTTGGGGAAAGTAATATAAAAACTGCAGGAGCTGTGCATTTTGAAATGGAAACATCAAGCTGCTGAGAGCAAAGGACAGAAGAAGGAAGGAGAGAAGGAGGATGCAAACAAAAACTAAATGAAAATGATGTAAAGTGAATCAAATGGGGTTGTCATAATGAAAGCTGAGAAGGTTTCTTCCATTGTATGTCCTTCAGCAGATGCTGATAATCCTAGATAAATAATGGAATATCCCTAGAATCACAAATACAAATAAATGTTGATATTTAGGTGAGCATCAACATTCATCAATGTGTCTTGAAGGACTTCAGAGATTCACAAATTTCATTCACCTATGTCAACATGCATTGTAGTGTTGCATAACTATAATGCATTGAATTATGAAGTATCATTGAGACAGCCTTCTGAGTGAGCCCGTGCAATGCTGAAAGGCCAACTCTCTACTCACTCACCTCATGTGCCTGATGTGGGATAGCATGAGGAGAAGTTGAGCCAGTCGTCTATGCTGTTGCTGCTGAGAGAGGCCTGACTTGGACATCAAGTGCATCAAAGTGTCAATGATTTTATCCAGGACACGATGGATATAATCCTTTTCCTCCACAGATTTGAATGTGGAAAGATAAGTATAGATACCTAGTGGAGGAAGAGAATGCATCAGGATTTTGCTTACTCTGGGGCAGACCTAGATCGCATACCTATACACTTTTACTTGGGAGTAAGTCCCACTGAGGTTTGGTAAAGATAAATAGCAGTCATCACAGTTCAGGCCAGGAAAAAAAATGTAACCAACTGGCCAAAACACAATGCTTTCTGAAGGAAGGAGAAACTGTTACCTAAACGTCACTTTCAGCATCATCTCTAAAATCTTATTTCAAAGATTCTCTGGAGCAATCCTTACAAGGTTGTGCAAAGCCACGATAAGCTTGCAGTGTAAATCAGGGGTCAACAGCTTTTGACCCTACAGATAGGAGTCATGTACCATTCCCATCGACCATCTATATCAATCTGCCAAAAATAAATTTTCTACCCACAACTGAGTTATAATTTTTAATTTTTAACAAGAGGTTTTAAATGTTATTTTATTCATTTAGCTCTTGATGGAACTATGGATTTGTATAACAATGCTTTGGAGTCATCTAGTTTGTTACATGTGTAGCAATTTGGTTTTTCGGAGCATTTCTAGACATTTTAATTGACCATAAGATTCATATATCAACAAAAGTTAATACCAATAAATGCAACACTAAAAAATTAATGCTAATGAATTAAGTTGCACATTAATTTTAGTGATGCCACGTTAGGTTTAGCACTATTTCCAGGCTCCGGTTTTGCATCAGAACATAGGACTCAGTATGAAGATTGAAGCTAAGCTTCTTCTCTTGGCTTTCCTTTGAAGGTAGTGATTTTGGAAACAGACGGCCTTTCAGCCTGACCAAAAAACCAAACCAAAACAATGAAGGAAATAAAAGGAGTAAGAAACAAACTGATGTAAACTTTGATCTCTAGATAGGAGACAGTCTCATTGACCCAAGCTCTTCATCCCTTTATCAGATCATCAACAGTCTTGACAACTGCTTTTCTTCTTTGCAGCTGGAGTGGTTGGAGAGCAAGCCACAACACATTAGCTCCAAAAAATCCCTATAAAAGTCGGTTGCACTATTTACACAGTATATGACATGCAGTTTTGCAGCCAAAGTCACAATGCAGTTATGGCTATGTGTTGGAATTATGCTGTGCTTTCCCCCTCTCTTCTCAGTATAATATACAGCACTAAACAGGCTCAAATCCAATTTTTAATTAAATATGATCAATCTTCTTGTCGGTCTCAGAATCTTCAATCCAGAAAAGGTTCGCTATACCCACATCAATAGGTCAAGTTAAATGCGGCCAATGTAAGCCTGTAATCCTGGGCCCCCATGCAACTGTAATATTAGGGAGCAAACTTAATTTCTAATTTCTTCCTCTTCTTCTGTGCTATCAAATTGCTCCCAATGTATGGCAACTGAATGAATTAGCGAACTCCAAAATATCCTGTCCTCAACAGCACTGTTCATCTCCTGTAAACTCAAGACTGTGATTTCTTTAGGGAGTCAATCCATTTTGTATCTGGTCTTTCTCTCTCCCTGCTGTCTTCCACCTTTCCTAGCATTACTGTCTTTCCAGAGAACTCTGTCTTCTCATGATGTGCCTCAGCTTCAACATTTTTGCCTCCAGAGATACATCAGGGTTGACTTTATCTAGGACCCATTTGTTTGCTTTTCTGGCAATCTAGGGCATCTGCAAAGGTCTCTTCCAGCATCAGATTTTGAACAAAACCTTTTTTAAAAAACTTTTCAATTTTCTTTACTGTTCAGTTTTGACAACCAGACATGGTGCCTGGATATACAACAGTGTGGATGATGTTGGTTGGTCTTCGTCTCTATCCTTACACTTGTTGATGCTTTCTATTTCCGTCATTGCTGCCTTTCCAAGTACCACTCTTCTGATTTCTTGGCTGTAGTCTCCATTTGGATTGGTGATTGAACCACGGTGTACAAAATCTCTAACTATTTCAATTTCTTCATTGTCAATGTTAAACGTTTTGTAGTTTTTCTGTAGTTATTATTTTTGTCTAATGTTCAGCTGTCATCCTGCTTTGGCACTTTGTTCCTTTTCCTTTCCTAAAAATGGTTTCAAGTCATTGCTGTTCTCTGCTGATAAAATGGTGTAATCTGCATATCTTAAATTATTGATATTTCTTCCACCAATTTTCACTACTCCTTTATCTTAATCTAGACTGGCTTTCCATGTAATATGTTCTGTGTACAGATTGAACAGATAATGAGTTAAAATGCAACCCTTGTCTGACACCTTTGCCTATAAGAAACCATTCCATGTCTCCATATTCTGTTCTAACCGTAGCCTCTTGTCCACAACACAAGTTATACATCAGGACAATCAAATGCTGAGGCACACCCATTTCTTTCAGAAACAGATTTCAAGCTTATGTCTCAGTAAGCCTGCTAAAGGCCTAGTGATTTCAAGAATATTCCAGGTGAGAAAGTGTGGCTTCATTTGATTGTTGTGGGTTTTTGGGCTCTTTGGCCATGTTCTGAAGTTTGTTCTTCCTAACGTTTCGCCAGTCTCTGTGGCTGGCATTTTCAGAGACTGGCGAAACGTTAGGAAGAACAAACTTCAGAACATGGCCAAAGAGCCTGAAAAACTCACAACAACCATTAGATCCTGGCCATGAAAGCCTTCGCGAATACATTGTAGCTTCATTTCTTTAGATAAAGAGCCTTGAATCTATAGCACTCAGTCAAGGACATTGCTGTATGACTTTGGGAGATCATAAAAAACACAGTTTTGTTCTGTCATTAAAAGGATTAATTTCATTTTTCCATAAGATTCAAAAAACAGATACTATTCTGTTACTGAAATTATGAACTACTTGTGCTGCATTTGCCATAAGAGGCAAGCTGACTTCCAAATAACTGGGTAAATATTTACAAAGGATGCTGCTAAATCAACTGACTAATATATGCATTGAGACCAAAGTATATCTGCAGTTCAATATCACAGGCATTCAGGTGAAAGCAATCATCCTACATGTACCTCCTTAGAGCAAAAATGTGGCACCCAACTCCTACCAGCCCCAGTCAGCATGGCTAGCTGAGATGATGAGAGACTCTCACTTTGAGATATAGAAAGTCAAATTCATGAACGGAGAACCCGTATGGAGATTGTTTCAGAATAGCTCTATCACAAAATCTGTAAGGGAAAACCTCATATATCCAGCAGGGAAGGTGTATTGGGTGCCTGAAAAGGTAAGTCAGATCCCAGGCACTTGTTCCTTCCTTATGCATTTGTGCATCACAAAGAATAAATAAAGAGCAGACAGTGAGTCTCTGATCTACAAAGGGAGGAAAAAAGCCCAGGAAAAGCTCAACAAGTGCTATATGTTGGTGGTATTGACAAGATATGCAGAATTAATTTCATTGCTAATCATATGAGGTAACTGTTTCTTTCCCATCAATAAGGATTATGCGATATGCTAAAGAAAAGAAGACTATTCACTAAAGTATCTAGTCATCCAAAGTTAGTGAATATTCCTTTTCTAAATCATGACTGCAAACATCTTCCAGGTAGCATGCCCCCTGGCTGGGAGTATCTGGGAGTAACAGTTCAAAAATTCTTCCTCTATGGGCATAGGGGCAGAGAAGAAGCCATGAACCTGAATTCAGGCTGATCTTCAGAAGATTACGTGATAATGCTCAGGGGATGAACTTTGTTGTTGTTTAATCATTAAGTCATGTCCAACTCTTCATGACCCCATGGACCAGAGCACG